AGGAAATAATTCTGGAAGTAACTGAAAGATGTCTTTAAAGATATACATATATTATATATATTATATATAAACCCTGTAATTATGAGCTGCAACCACGTAAGATTTATTTTTACAGTATTACCTGTCTTTCTGTATGTCAGCTATGATTCTGATTTAAAGCTCTACGCACTTTGTTACTCTTTATACAAGGCTACAAAGCTAATAAAGTTTTTTTTTTTTTTTTTTTTTTTTTTTTTCCCTCCATGTGCCTAACTGTTTTAATTGTAAATCAAACAGAGGAAGGTTTTTCTTTTTAGAAATGTAAGTTTCTAGCACTGGTTAACAGAAGATGATGTCTTTAAAACCAGCTTTCGTACCTGAAATTATTACCTGAGATGGTTCCATTTCAGACAGCCACTGTAAAGACACCAGCAATTCATTTTTATTGAAAAGGGCAACGCTTTGAGGAAGTTACCTACAGACAGGTCCAACAAAACTGCTTCCCAACATACACACCCACAACGTGTAAATTTTCCATGTAAAAGCTCTTCAGGGCAGATACCACCTACCTGCTCGAAGCAGCCCTGATGTTGCAACACAGCGCACAGCAGAGCCGCTCACTTTTAACAAACATTTATTGAAAACAGCACAGAGGCTCTAAATACACTTGGTAGGTCTTCCTTCCAGGATTAAGAGGAAGTATTAAAAATATAAAGGCCTTAAATGCAGAGGTCTTAATCCTGGAAAAAGCAAAATTGTGGAAAAAAAACACATTCTTGAGTTAAAAAAAAATTACTATCAAGATGTCTTCATCTTTAACTTGTTCAGCCTGAAAGCTGGGGCAGGGCTCCGAGGTCCATCCTCAGTATTTTTATTGCTTTTGGCTGGTACGTTACTAAAAATCACCCTGTTACTTTTCTTCTGCGTGTCCGACCGCTGTTCGTTTCAGCGGGATGCGGAGAGGGGAAGGTGGGTCCATCCCGCAGGAGCGCGGGTCACCCGGCTCGCGCCAACAGCCACAGCCCCCGGCAAACCCGCCTGCCGCACGGGGAGGCTCCGTCGGGATCCTTATCCCGCGTCGGCAGCGGCACCGGCTGAAGCGAAGGCAGCAATAAATAGCAGCGGGCAGAGGCGGCCCGGGTGCGGGTCAGTAAACGCGCTTCTTCTTCAGCGAGGACTCGGCGTAGCGCACGGCCGAGCCCGGCGCCTGCGGGCCCACGCACGGCCCGGGGCCGGGCTCCGGCGACGGCACCAGGTAGGACGAGCCCCGCTTCGCCCGAGAGGAGGTTTCTGCAAGGGCACGTGAGACCCTGTCCCAGCGCCCGGCTCTGCTGCGCTGCTCGAGGCCAGGCTGAAGCGGCTCTGGGATTAGGAGCAGCGGCGCTCGCTCCCGAAGGGCTGGGCCGAGCGCCTGCTCCGACAGCCCCGGCTGCTCCGGCCACCTCCGGCCCTGCCGCGGCTCTGCCCGGCGCCGCTACCGGAGCAACGCGCAGGCTGAACACGAGCGCTGCCCAACACGGAGCCTCCCCGGGGGCCGATGGGGACCCTCTTCCCTGAGGATTAACTCTAGGAATAAGAAAAGTGCCTAGTCGTGAAGGCGAATTCCACACGAGCCGGGCCGTGCCAAGCACCGCTCGCGTTCTGCCGCCGATGGCACCGGGCCGGGCTCCGCTGCCGCGCGGGGCGGCCAGCACCAAGCCCAGGTGTCGCCTCCCTTGCAGTGCTGCAAGTTCTCTCATTTCCAGTCCCACCACGGGTAGCTGGAACTGCAAAGCACAATTTTGGTGCACAAGGTGTTCGGGCCTCGGCCACCTTTATTGCCAGACACCAACCCGGTTGCAGCCAGGCTTTGTGCACAGCCCACGAGTCAGGAATTACTAGAGCTGCATGTTCCTTTTAAAGCTCCTCCGAAAAAGAGACCGTTTCACAGCAAATCTCATCCCCAAAACGGGAGCACCATGATTGACCTGGGCCATGAGACTGTTCCCCGAGACTTCCAGGAACACGAGAAGCCCAGGGCGGGCAGAGCCTGCGGTGCCATCCCCTCGGTCTGTGTTAAAGCAACTTCCAGTCGGGACTCACGGTCTCCTCCAAACCCGCTCTCTCCCTGCACAGCATCTCCCCATCCTGCCGGCACACGTCACTGCCAAAGCCCAGGCTCTCCCAGGCGCAACACACAAAGCCAGCTCTGTTCCGTGAGCCTGACGGAAGCAGGTTGCATCTGGCTCCTGGCACATTCCTCAAGGGAACGACATTTCCAGGTGTTATTTTTTTTCTCCCAAGGCCTCGTTAATAGGAGGTAGCAGGTTTGCTGACTCCAGAGATTCATCCCAAAGGTGCCCACTGCCAGATAAAAACCCGAAACAGCATGAACTACCTCCTCTCCTCCTGCTTTCCTTGCCGACCTCCTTGAAGGCTTGTTCGTCCTCGCAGACGCCACCTTCCCAAGCGCTTTGCTCCCAACTTCCAGCCTCTCTTCTCCCGTTTGGATTGGTGGTACCTGAGCTCGGCCCTGCAGGGCGCGGGGCGGGAAGCTCCGCTCGGCTTCTGCTCCTCCGAGGGCCGCGGGAAGGGGCTGTGCTCCGCCGTGCGCGTGGGAAGGAGAGCGCCTGCGGCAGCGTGGGGGCCCAGAGCGTCCCGTGTGCCCGGAGCCGCTCGGTGGCAGCAAAGCACCGAGGAGGAGAAGCCCCTCCGGGGCTGCAGCCAGGCCAGGGCTGCCCCCAGTGCGGAATGGGCTCCGCGGGAAAGCGGTTCAAGGAAAAGATGCTGGATAATTCACTGTGGTTGATAAGCCTGCGAGCCCCCAGCGGGCGCAGAAACACCCCAATGGCACCCGGCTGCTGAAAGGAGGAGGGAGCCGTTCAGAGCAGCGCAGGCACGCGGCGCCCTCCTGAGCGCCACGCAGGATTTCTTTACCTAATTCCTTAGAAAAACAAAAACATTGGCAGCACAGGGGCTATGCAGTGGCCTGGGAGAAAAACAGTCCCTAGACTGATGGGAAAATAACTTTACGGCACGTTGTTCATGGCGGGAGTGTTTTCCTACACCCCTGGGGCTGGGATGGAGAGCCGGCGCGGCCGGCCGGAGAGTCAAGTTGTTTCTTGCTCCGGAGGCTCCAGTCTCAGCCCCCCGGGCTCTGGCCTGGGCACGACGCAGCCAGCGCTGCTGAACAGCCTCCTGCAAAGGAGGAGGAACCCTCTGCCCATTGGCTGTCCACCACCATCACTCAGTGCAAACAGTTCTTACCACCGCGCGGGACACGGGAATGACTAAAGGCAAAGCTCTCCAAGAAGCATCAAAACACACTGAGCTGCGCTGCTCAAACCAAACACTCAAACCCACATGAATGACCAAAGATACAGAAGGCACCGCAGCCTCGGTGGCACACGCAGGGGACAGTGGAGAACGATGTGCAGCACCTCTGCACCCCAGCGACACCGTCCATGTCCGTCGTGCTACTCATAAATAACGTTAAATACTGCAAGAGTGCTGTTTTTAAACAGGATTTTAAGGACCAGGGGATGGGAACTGTCTTCAGGAGGCATCAAAATAAACTTGAAGCCAATGATCAGATTTGGGCAAGACCGTCCAGGCTCGGTCAGGTGGTTGCAGGTCACTCTCTCCTGCTCCTCTCACCCGGATTCCCATTGGATCCGCTTCGACTCGCAAGGATGGCCCTGGCAAAGGGCCCTGTCGCAGCAAACGCTCCCCGGGGTCCCGTCCCACGGAGCCCACGCAAGCACCAGCCAGCGCCGGCCCCGCCACGCGCCCACGGACCGAGCGATGGAGCCATCCCTGCCCCCGGGAGCCCAATTCCTGCAGCAGCCCCGCTCCGTTGTCACCAAGGACGGGATTCCCTTGTCACCGAGCACATTCCTGGCTCCCCACCGTGGGATGAGGCAAAACGGCTCTAACACAGGGGAGGAGGGGATGGTAGGGACGGGGGCAGGAGGAAACAGCCACGAGGGCTTCCTCAGAGCAGCCCCAAGACTTTTCTATAGAAAATACAATACAACAGTATAGAAAATACGATCCATACGTGCTTCGCAAACAGCTAAACTCATCTGCACCATCGTATTTCTATATAGACTAGTGATGGCTAATGAAAATGCAGCACTGTTATCCCACAGGCAGCCCCAGTGTTTGTGGAATTCAGCACTTGCTGTCAGTACTCTCTGATCAGGGGCAGCCTCCACTTTATGGCCACACTTTGATCACCAAATGTTACATATGGTAAAGAAACCCTATGCAGCAAAACCCACTGGCAGAAAGTGGAAAAATTCCCAAAGCTGCGCTAGAACTTCTGCTGCACAGACCACACTGCTCTCGGGATCCAGCCAAAGCTTGGGAAAACTGTTTCGGAAAGGGGAAGAGGGAAAACTGCATGGTTTTGAAGAGAAACAAAGGCCGAGCCAGAAGTTATCTGAAAATAATTCTCTGGCTGACTGCACTGAATTCAGCAAAGGCTCTGGAGAAGAAATCTTGCAACAACTATGACCTGCAGCAGGGAACGTGCTGAGGCTTTTTCTGACTGGGATTAAGTGTACTTGGGGCTAAATCTCCTCCGTGCCCCTCGCAGGGCTACCAGGGAAGGGGACGTACGAGGGCCTGGGCTGCAGGAAAGCCTCAGATCCGTGAAGGGTGGTCTGTGATGCTGGGCAAGCCCCTCCAGCCCCGTGCTCGGCTAACAGGGTGCGTGTCTACCACGACGTCCATTGGAAAGTCCACAGAGAAAAGCAACAGTCGACCTTGGCCCCAAACAAGGGATCTACGAGCCAAAAACCCTTCTGCCAGGGCAGTGAGGGACCAACCAGGCTTCGGAAGAAAGGAAGTGCTGTGAGACCACTCACCTGGGTGTACTCCCCAGGCTGCTGCGAGTAACTGAAGTAATTTTCCACTCCATGTTGTGATGCAGCTCCCTGAGACCCAGCAGCATCCAAAACGTTGTGTGCAAGTCCCGTCTGCTGCAGCGGACTAGAGGCTTTGCTGGCGATTGCTGTCCAGAACACAAATAATACCCGGGTCACCTTAATGGCACAAGTTAAGTCCAGTTCAGTCCTGTTGCACTCCAGCAGGGCAATTGCTGGCATAACAACAGAAATTTGCCACTTCAGATTGTGCCGCGCTCCAATTTAAACAGCGTTTAGAAGAAAATAATAAGAGAGTAAATGATAGAGCAGTGTCAAGGCAGAATCTGGGATTTAATTAAAGATAAATGCTGTGGTCACTCAAATCATCTGCCAAACAGAGTAAGAATTTGCCACGCTCTGGTCAAGAAAACGTCCTATGAGAGCTGCTTACCTGGAAGACACAAACCAGGCAACACACTTGCCAAATTCAAGTAGGGGTTGGTACTCAGGCGAATTTCTTTTGGTGGCTCTCCCAGCAGCGACGTCTGTTTTTTCAGGGGAGTCTGTGAAATAATTGGAGAGGTTTCGTGTGTCAGCATGCTTTATATTCCTACACTTGTCAGAGATGAGTCCCAGCATGATTTTTGGGGGGAAAAAAAAAAAAAAAAAAAAAGAAAAAAAAAAAAGTACAGCCCTATGAAAAGCAGCAGGATTTTTTTTTTTGCATAAATACTGGGGACGCATTGACCAAATACACTGCCTAGATTTTTTTCCTTGCCAAATGATTTTTTTCTGGGAAAGTGTTGCTTTAAACTCTAAGTTACTGAGCAACATGAAAAAATAAAAACAACTCAAAGCTCATACACTCAAGAAAATGCCTAATGAGCACCGCAGCAACCACAGATGAAGGGAATTAGCATCACATACACAGCGGAGCCAAATCAAATCCAGAGGCACAAGCAAACGGAGGGCAAACGATCCCTGTGTTCAGCTGGGAATGTCTGCGCCGTGCCGGCCACCTAAGCCCTCGCTCTGACCACCAGCTGTGAAGGGGAGCAATGTTGATGAGCAGAAATGAAGCACGAGGACAGACTCACGTCTCCAAACCACCCGGGGTGTTTTCCTACGAGGGCTAGGGGGTATCAGGGCAGGGGCCCGTGACGGGGAAGGGCTCTCTGCGGAAAAGAAGAAAATTTGCAGGTAGAGACGAGTAGTTCAGCGGGGAGGAAAAGCAGAGTTATTCTGAGGGGGAACCTGCTGCCAAGAGCTGCTCGTTTCAATAGTGGAGTGGCTCGGTAAGGCCAACATTATGTTTCATGCACGAGCAGTAGGTTTGTTTACAGTATTGGAAAAAGCCACCAAAAAGAGGGTTGAAATAAGCAGTTATGCAAGCAAGTTGGATAGCCTGTCTGAAATACACAGCTCAGACGTTTATGTAGCACCCTAAATATATTCCACTGCTTTTTCCCAAGAAAAAATGCAATTATTTAAAAGCACGTGAAATAGTATTAATCTTCAGCTTTTCACAAACTGCGAGCCCAGTTTTCAAACACCAAAAGCTTCGGCGGAGCTTGGACACAAAAGCTGGCATTTAAGATAGGATGGCTGTTCAGTATCAGCGGGCAAGCCGGGGATGTCTTATTAAGGAAGTGATTTCTGCAAATGGGGCCATCTGTCTGCCGATGCGGAAAAGGAAACAATTAGAACATCTACCAAAAAGGAACTTTTCACCATAAACAACACATTCCTTTCTAACTACAGGAACCACCGAGCTCAGACACTGATTTTCTATAGCCACAAACACACTCCTTATGTATTTTAGCCATGTGTAGACAAACATAGGTAAAACCCAGGCATATAAATGCAGAATCACACTTTATTGCAGCAAAAAGTGATTTAAAAATTTAAAAAGTTCACTTTCTGAAGTAGGGCCAAATCTGCCAGAGCTATGTAAAGAATAGAGCCACCAATACCCCGTGGAATCTACTTACTTCAGCTGCTTTCAGAAAAAATGTAAGGAAGATGCAGGTCTGAATTAAATAAGATCTTCTTGTTTCCATGTATATGCCATTTATAAAAAAAAGCAAAAGCATGGACCAAATTCTATTGATTGCAAGAAATAGAGAAAAAAAACAATTGGTTCAATCACTCTTCCCCCTCAGGCTTTGGGAAATAAATAATAAAACTGACTTCAGACTGCAAAGATGATAATAAGTGAAAAGGGGAAATATTACTACACATATGTACAGAAACACTACCTGGGGACCTGAAGGCCTTACGTGCCAGCAGAATTGCTCCCGCTTAGTCTCTAAATTCCAACACAAGTTCAATTTTCAGTCTTTAAAAATCTGGGGACCTGTTGGTCTCTAAATTCCATCACAAGTTCAATTTTCAGTCTTTAAAAAAGGGACATCTCCCTTGGGATAATTTCATCATCAAATATTATGAGGCATACACATGGAAAAAAAAAACAGCACTAAAAAAAAGGATTCCTTTGTTACTTCCTTTGGACCACCAAAGAGCATTGTTGTTCCCTCCCTGTAATTCATAACTGAAACGACCTTAGAGCGTCTCCTGGATGAGCCTACGACCTAGCGAGTTTTATAGTGAAGAACCACAGTTAACTCTTGACAAATTAACAAATATTAAACCCACACACAAGGAGAGAGGAAAACCAGCAGGAGAGAAGGGAACGGTGCTCCGGGAAGGCGCCTTACCCCCAGGCTGGCGTCGGGGCCTGTCGGCTGGCCCTGCTGCTTGGCGCGCGCGGGGAGCTGCGGGAGGGCCGCGCGGGGCCGGAGCGGCTGCGCGGGCGCCGCCGCCGCCGCGTCGGGGTGTTTTTCCGGAGGGCTGCTCTGCCCTGGCACAGCCTGTCCCACCACGTGCTGGCTCGGGAAGAATGGCAACATGCCCATCCCCGCGGCTGCGGTTCGAATTGGAGGCAGATTAGATGCTGCAGTCAGCCATAAATGGAGAAACTTTTCTGTTAGGGAAGATTTATCTGTGCGTTTTGTCTGGGGTTTTTATGAAGCGAGGGGAAAAACATTTAGAGATCTATTTCACAGCTGTCACAGGGTGCTGGATTCTGATGATAGTTTTTATTCTTTTAGCAACCCAGGAACAGACAACTTTAAATAAAGCTAATTCTATAAAAGAAAACTGTGAGTGTTTTTGATAATATTCTCATTCTAAACATCCCCTTTCATAACCAGTTACTGAGCACTCAAAAAGCCTTTGAACAACATCCTAGAGGTCTTGTTTGTGGATACGGGGAAAACAATCTAACAGCAGCTGGTATTAGTAAAATTCCTTTTACAAACAAAACACCCAGAAAGCATTCTCTAAAATCTAGAAATTCAAAATAGGTTTCTGAAAAAAAGTTTTCTGAAAAAAAAGCTTTCAGAAAGCTTTTATTTGCTACTGGTTAGTACATTAATCAAATCATGTCTACAACTATAAACAGATGGGAATTGCTTTAACAATGTAGCCCAGGCACCCAGCAAAAATGTAACTGCTAAAATAGTATTAAACAAGGGTTGGCTCCAGCTTATGCTGCAGAACATGTGGCTCTCAATGGAGGCAGCATAAAAAGACACGCTGTGCAGTGTTACAGCTCATCTCTGCTCATAAAAATTAAAGGCATCGCTGGGATGCCAGGAATTTGCACTCAAAATGGGTATCAAAGACCAGACATTAAAATGCACTCAAAATGCTGGTGACTGAGTAAGCAGAATTTCTGACAACCTGCAAATACTCAACAAACGCCACAGGGGACTCCCTGAGGGAAGAGATGAGAGAAGCCAGGCAACACGACAACATGCTTCATGCTTGGTTTCTGCTTAAGGCATGCACAGATTACCAACAATTTAATGACAAAAAGCTGCCAGATACAATGACTGATCTCCATTTATTTTTGGAAGATAAATGCATTAAACAAGAAACCCTTTTATGCCAAAATTCAACATAAAATGGAAGAGGAGTAGTTCACAGTAAGACTTCTGAGTGCACTAAGCGAAGTTAATGGCATCCCAGCCAGTTTCACTTGACATGAATCGATGCAAGAGGTGTTTGACCTAGCCATGAAATTCAGTCAGGCTTAGTTAGCCACAAGAAATAAGAAGTGTGGCTGGGACATACGGTCTCATCCTCATTGTTTGCAATTTGGGTGAGATAAACAAGTAAAAATATTACTACAGGGTTATTATATCTCACTGCAATTTGGGTGAGATAAACAATGTAAAAATATTACTACAGGGTTATTATAAATCAATTAAAATGTACAGAGTAAATATAACACACTGAGAACTAAAATATGCTGAACTTTAGGAGGAGAAGGGAGTTGTACAGTTGTCACAGAATTTAAACAGTTAAATGGTTATATGTACACTGTTTGCACTTTTTTTTAACCCTAAAATATTTCAGATTATTGAACTGGGAAGGCCTCTGATTTTGTGCCACTTGATGAAAAAACCTATCAGTGCAGCAATATCCACAGACATTTCACAGGGAATAGCTCTATGACTTGCATTACTCTACAGCTCTTTCCTTACATTACAAATTACTGCACTTGCTAAAAGTGGGAGAAAATAAAATACATAATTTCAAGCTGATTTGGTAGGAAATAAAGTGTCATTTACACTTATGAGCTTCTCCACGCGTTCCCATGCCTGAACTCACAGATGGCATCACCCCTATTCCCAGCACTGTCTGCAGCAGCATGGTCGGAGGTTCCCCCAGCAAACCTGGTTTCTGCAAGAAAGAACAGAAAAGGTCTAAGTGACTAAAATCACCTGTTTGCAGCTCGCTCTTATCCTTTTCAGATTAACAGATTTCAGTTAACCCTTTTGGACAGGGCTAACAGTGGAATTATAAACATTAAAAACAAAGCAAAACATATTTCTTCTCTCAATTATATGAGTATGCAAAGACAGCCAGAGCTAGTGAGGACCTTACACTATTAGCCTGAACGTTCTCAATCTTCACGAGCTGCTGCTGTGGCAATGGCAGGTGAGGAGGGCTCTGCAGCAGTAAATTAGATGCGCTCCCCAGAACTGAATTCTGTGAAATTAATGAAAGAAACGTTAGCTGGGAAACATGGAAAACAGCACCTTCTTGAAACATTTTCACATAATACTGCTTGCAGAAATTTAAATGATCCGTTCAAGCCCCTGGGACTGCCTTGTGCCTTGCTCTGCATTTCTAGTACATCAGCTCCACCAGGAATCTACTGACTCTGGGCTCTGTTGTAACCAGTTGGGACTCTCATCCCGGCCTCACAAACAGCACCACTGCTTTAATGAGGAATATCCACACACCTTTCCCTGCCTCTTTCTAGTGGGAACTATCTATGCCAAGTTCTATTCCAGAAACACGAAAAAACGGTCAGTTCATTTGCACTGTGATTTGCGCTGCCCACAAAATAAGTCTCATCCCAAATTTCTGTATCGCTGTTCACCACCACAATCCTCTTTGGTTGGGTAGATGTCCCCATCTACCCAAGGAGGTAGATCCTTGCTACCCAGGGAGGTTTGAAACAAAACTTCTGTCCACGCCAGGTCACAAAGCCGCGCTACGTTTCGTGCTAGCTGAACACATGCTGGAAGCTGTTTTGAACCATCTTTCTGGCAGCAGTTCCTGAGCGTGATTTGCCAGGCAAAACAGAAGCTGCTCTGCTCATCTCCTCGTGCAGCAGTGCAAGAAGGGCTAATCGGGACACGGACTGGCAGAAATCTCGGTGAGTGCTGCCCTCTTCATTTTCTGAAATGTCCTACCTTGCAAAAGTCGCCATAAAACCAATAATGAAGCCAATACCTAAGGAGAAGGCAGCTCTCAGCACGTATCGTTTTGCATATTTTAGGGTTAACTCCATAACACCTCACAAATATTTTCAAGGCTGGGTTGTGTCTTCTCAGGCTATGGTCAGGTTTCGTGAAAAAAAAGGCCCCTATAAACCTATAACATGGCCACTCACTTGAAGGAACGGTCCTTTGTGGTTTTGCAAATCTTTTACAAACAAAACAATGTATGAAACAAGGGTCTCTTGGGCATTACAATGCTAGATTCTAGACTCAGAAACAAGCCATTTAAATCCAAAAGGGCCACCTCTGGATAATGCTGGTGTACCTGCTATTTTAAGAAAGATTTCTAATAGATATTATGTGCAGCCCTTTATTGTCACTAACACCATTGGATGTTCTTCCTAAACTTGGTTATGCCAACAAAGGAAATGTATTCCGGAAAGTTTTGCAATTGAGATTATACTGGAGTGGAAAATCTGACTGGTTAGAGACTGCAAAAGGATTCCCTGAATTAGTAAAATTTAGTAAACGGACATATGACTTAGGAAAACACATCCCTGAAGACGTTTACAATGCACTATTGTAGCACATGGTAATCATAATTAAGAAAATTAAAAGAAAGGAGTTATAAGCCATGCTAATTCCAGAACTAAAAGTTAGCGGTGAGTCACATATTTGTTCAAATTTCTCTCTGTTGGACCTCTCTTTATCAATTATTTCATAATATTTTGGCAGAATCATCCTAAAAATAGTTTCTTCATAGTAGAATATTTTAGAAAACCCTGAATATAAAGTAGCAAGAGCAACTGCACAGTAGGCTGAACGAGTGTTGGCAGGGAGGGAGTCAGGCCCCCGAGACGCTCTCTCCTCCCCTGCGCTGGGACTACACTGAATCCCAGGACAGGAACAGCGACCCACTCCTCCAGCTTTAGGGAACAGTCTGGAATAAGTCCCTGCACAACAGCAAAATGAGCCTAGCAGGAGGAACTGAGATAATCAAATCACTACCGACAGGATTCGGGCTATTAGATGAGGTTTGGAGCTAATGAAAGGATGGGAGGCTCCACGGAAGTGCATTAGATGCCTGTGTCTCTCCAAAGAGAAAGCACTAGTTTGGCTGCAGCACCATAAGCCAAAGCACTGGAGCATCATCAGCCAGGCTCCTGGCTGGGTAAAACTGTGATTAGAAAGCATTCCTG